TATATATATATATATATATATATATATATATATATATATATATATATATATATATATATATGTATATATATATATATATATATATATATATATATATATATATATATATATATATATATATATATATATATATACACACACACACACACATACATACAGGGCTTTACATTAACACCCGCGGGTAGATTTCAGCTTTGGGGGGTAAGACAGCCGCTCCCACTAGCCACTTTGGCAGGTTGAAAATCATTTTTACATTGTAGTTTTCTGAAAGCAGGGTTCGACTCGACAATAAGGATGGCCCAATATGCGTGCAAATGTGATCTTAGAATCGAGAAACAGCACGAGTGAAAACAACTGTGTTTGCGCGGGACAAAGCAGCTGAAAACCGTATGGGAGGATGATTACTCGCGCTTTTTTTCCGTTCACTTGCGTTCGGTTCTTTTTGAAAAAGACCAAAAAACGATGCTCGTGTACCCACAGTCCTGCTGCTTTTAAGAGCTAAAGAATGAAAAATATAAATATTTGTAAGCAGCAGCAGCAGTCACTGCTTTCGTTTTAATTATTCTCAGGCACGTGATCATCCTTTCACTATCACTCGTGGTATTTTACCTGCTTTCTTTTGCTTACAGTTATTTTTGTTAATAGTTTAATTATCATCCTTTACAATAACATTTCTTTGATATGAGATTAACCAACCATTTGTGTGTAGTAACTGCTGATCTGGGACAACACAACATCTAAATCAAGTCATTTTAGCATGTCAAAGTCACACTTATTTATATAAAATATATTTTCCAAACAACAAAATTGTGGCTAGTGAAAATGGCAAGTGGCTAGTAATGTTGGAAATCTACTAGCCACAGTGGCTGGTGATCAAAAAAGTTAATGTAAAGCCCTGTATGTGTGTATATATATGTATATATATATATATTAGTGCTGTCAATCGATTAAAAAAATTAACTAATTAATCGCACCTTTTTAAAAAAAACTTTATCGTGATTAATCGCATTTAAAATACTGAAACTTGTAATTTTGGCTATTCAAATGTAAAATTAATGTAAACGCAAGACAAAAACTATTAAAATTCAAAATATAATTGTTTAATAGAATTTTTGTTTAACTTGTAACACAGATTTCTTCATGTAAACAACATACCCACAATAAACCATCAAGATCCTGGCTTGACAGCCATATTTATTAAAGAAATCAAAACACAGGCATGTTAATGACATTTTAAATTTCAAAACAATCAATGCCAATAAAGAAAACATTGATTTCCATGTTGGATTCTAAGTGGACTGCAAAAAAATGCCAAAATACAGGAATTGCAGATATGGAAAATGAAAAATCTAAATAATAAACTATAGAATACAAACTGTTGCACTCATTGTAAAGTTTTATTGCTGTGAGTTGAGAACATTAGTTATAGAGTAGAAACAATTTAGCTTAATCCTCCTTTACATTCATCCAGTTGCTAAGACTAGGAGTATCACACAACGCGCTGCAGACGTTTTGGCCCCAACGGCCTTCCATACTGGAGCGACTCCCCTCAGATTAAACACGCATGATCACGTTCATCAAATTTGCTTAATCTAAGCGTCCTAAAGTATTCCTGTATTTCACAAGGATTCTGACACAACAACGTGAAGCATACGCTTTTATTGCGTTTAATGAGGAAACACGCTAAACTTGGAGGACTCATGCTGAAAGGCAGAGTAATGCCCTGTCTTTGACAGCTCGCGACTTCACCAGAGACTTTCTGAGTACATTCACATAAGACACCAATACTCCGATTTTAATATGATTAAGATTATACTCTTATTAAAAGTCTGCCGTGTAGCCTAAGCAGTGATTTTATTACCTTAAAGGAACACCGAGTCACGAAATGCGGAGGATTTTCTTTCTGTTCGCCATGCGGTATTAACTTACAACAGAAGTCGAAAGTTAAAAATGAAACACCCGAAATTGCATGAAACTTTGGAGAGCCTGGTGATGCGACTAATTGTTTTATACAGGAACTTGCCTTCAAAAAGTGCTTATTTTTTTATTTTTCTTATTTACATTTCTTGCATGTTAAACACACGTCCACCACAACAGGAAGTAAAAAAAACTTGCATCTGCGTTAATTTTTTTAAACGCGTAAATTATTTAAAATTAATCGCATGCGTTAACACACTAATTTTGACAGCGCTAATATATATATATATATATATATATACAATTTTTGTACATATAGTTTCAAAGAGAACCACAGGTCCAAGGGAGATTGCAAAACACCAGCTGATTGAATATTTACTATTAAATATCTACTTCAAAAACACACAGACAAATGTAAAATACAATAAAACACCCTAAATCTGTTGAAATGCGTCGATCTGATGGACTCGATCTGCCAGAGTGTGTCCGAAGCTCATAGGCCAGTTTATTTATGGCAGAAACACCATTGAGCCTCTCCAGATCCTCCTGTATGGTCAAGCGTCCGTTTGAAAACACTCACAGGACATTAATTTGGACAACTATGCAGATATATTAAATAGTTCACACAAAAAATACACCCTTTACTTTCACTTCATGCACAGTTTGTGAATAAACAGACGTACGTGTTGCCTACTAGTTGCAGACGCAAACTTTTTTTTGCGCCGAGTTTGAAGTAATCCATCACAGACCAGGAGTAAGTGCAAATCGCAGCTCATTTTTCTATTTTACAGAATCATGTCGCGGGCCGCATTGAACCTGTTTGTGGGCCTGATCCGGCCCGCAGGCCGTACGTTTGACACCCCTGGAATGGACTATAGATATGAGAAGTGACGAAATAGTTTCAGAGTGCTGTGATGAAATGCTGGCTAAGCATGTAAATGTAAACAGAGCAGAACGCAGAGCTAAATGTGTTATAATGGAAATGTAAAGAAGAGACCGTCGTGTAATAAATACTGAACTTATAATCAGTGAATATGAGGTGGTTTCACTGTCGAAATGCCGTATAAATTCCTCTCATTTTGGCCTTTTTTAAAAAATTCTTTTAAACACATTTAGGTGCTGCTTATCAATTTGACAAGGCTTCTACGTCATTCTTGCTGTCAATTGCAGAAGAAATGATCGATAAAAGGTTTCTGATAAACCGCTGTGCCCGCACGCGAGGTTGAGTCAGATTAGCGCAGGAAGTCAGATTTAAGGCTGATTTATACTTCTGCGTCAAACGCCGGCGTATGCTACGGCACTGACGCATAGCCCTTCGCTGTGGCCATCGGCGTAACCCACGGCGCAGGCAACGCGCGCAGCTGTGCATTTATACTTCTGCGCACTGTCTCTTGTTGGTCTGCATTAACACTTCCGAAACGCTTGTTGGCAGTGAGGTGTAAATGTTCCTCTGTGTCGAGTTTCTTCACTTCCTGCTCACTTCCTCGCTCATTTTGAGGCAGGAACCGGCGGACGTGCAACAACTTTAACTATGAGGTAAACACAAAACAAAACTTTCCATCCGGAGCTCCTTCACGGGACTCCACACTTGTAAACAATCGCTCCATTGGGCTAGCGTCCAGCTCGCACCATTCGCGCTTCTCTCAGTCCCGCCCAGACTCTTCAGCGCTACCAAGCCGACCAATCACAGAGCTTACGCTACGCGTCGTTGCGACGTGTAGTTACAATTTTTGAAAGGTGCACATCAGCGACGGCCACGGCGAAGGGCTGTGCGTCAGCGCCGTAGCATACGCCGGCGTTTGACGCAGAAGTATAAATCAGCCTTTACGTCACATCCAATAAGCAAAGACCACCCGTCATAAAAGCGCGCGTCAGACCACTTGCTAGTCCCTTGCATTTTTCTCTTTCTCTGCTTTGTCGTTTGTTGGTATTTATCGCGTGCGTTTAGGAATAACCCGTCTAACTGTGTTTTTTGTTGTTGCTCGTTTCTGTGTGCACGTTATCCGTCCGTTATTCGTACATCATTCTTATTTTATCGTTGTATACGAGGCTTGGACGAAGCGGATAGGTAAGAAGGTCACGTGACATACATATTGCAACACTCTGCTGTTTAGGACATTAGGTTAGGGAGGAGCGCCACTCCTTGTACTTTTTGGATAGCTAGATAGAGTAGATAGTTAGGATTCGGAAGATCTTCGCGTGTTAATTATACTGTTTTCCACATAGTTAGTTAGCTAGATGCTTCTGGGAAGTTAGATTTAGGTTGGGTTTGGTTCTTTTCATTTCTTTAGCGCCGCCTGCATCCCTTCTGCCAGCTCTCTTGTTTTTCCCGTCTTTATTTGTCTCATTGTTGTAAATATTGTAAATTAGTATATTTTTGCCTTACTTACTTTTTCTTTATTTTTGATTAATTCGTTGTTGTTCACTTTGGGAATTGTAAATAAAAGTACACATTTTTGGCATTACTTTGGTTGTCTTTTTGCACTCATTCACTGTTTATATAAATATATTTTAATTAATCAAATGTCAAACCCCACACCCCCCTAGACCACAGGTGTCAAACTTGGTTCCAAAAGGGCCGCAGCTCTGCACAGTTTAGTTCCAACCCTAATTAAACACACCTGATCAAACTAATTGAGTCCTTCAGGCTTGTTTGAAACCTACAGGTAAGTGTGTTGGAGCAGGGTTGGAACTAAACTGTGCAGGGCTTCCGCCCTCCAGGAATTGAGTTTGACACCCCTGCCCTAGCATCAGGGGTTTGTAACACATCTCACAGGATTATCTCGGATCACGTCTTTGATAGTTCACACTGTGTGATTGTCACTCACGTGAATGATCCCGATTTGCCTGTGATTTCAGGCATTTGTCTGCGATTTTCTCAAAACCTGTCGGCGAGTCAAAATCGGTGCTAAAAATAATGCAGTCTGAACTCTGCATAAGCCACACCATGTTGGTGTTTCGTAACATCGAATTTTTATGAATTGGAGCCCAACACTCAATCCCCAACCTGGAGGACCAGTACATACACACATACATTTATTTTCATTTTGGCTTAATCCCTCTATTAATCTGGGGTTGCCACAGTGGAATGAACCCCTAACTTATCCAGCATGTTTTATATAGCTGATGCCCTTCCAGCCGCAACCCATCTCTGGGAAACATCCACACACACTCCTTCACACTCTTACACTACGGACAATTTAGCCTACCCAATTCACCTGTACCACATGTCTTTGGACTGTGGGGAAAACCACGCAAACGCAGGGAGAACGTGCAAACTCCACGCAGAAACGCCAACTGACCCAGCCGAGGCTCGAACCAGCAACCTTCTTGCGTCGCCATACACACACACACACACACACTAAGGACAATTTAGCGTATTTAATTCACCTAAAGTGAATGTCTTCAGGCTTGTGGAGGACACTGGAGCACCCGTGCCCACGCCAACATGGGGAGAACATGCAAACTCCACACAGAAAGGCCAGCTGGGGCTCGAAACAGTGACTGTGCCGACCTAACAGTTTTAGTAACGCATTAAAATGTTGAAGTTTTGATAAATGCTGTACAAGAGTTTATTTTGGTGATTAAATAATTTAAGAACACTTATTGTAAAGTGTGACTCGTTTCTTCCCTCTAAGTGTGAACGTACTCTCTGAATTGATTGAATTGCAGTGCCAATTCTAATATTCGTTGCTTTTTTGTTTGTTTTTGGTAGATCATGGCATTTAAGACTGACTGACCCTCCTGTGTACAGACTTTTAAACTTGGAAATTGGGGCTCCTCAATCAGCTCCCATGTGACACACTATTATAAAGATGGCATTTATTAAAGAGGAGAGTGAGGACGTGAAGATTGAAGGTCTGAGGATTGCAGAAGTGTTCACTCTGAAACACGAAGATCCTGAGGAACAAACAGGTTGGTTTTTATTAACCGAATTACTGGATCCTTATTTCAGTTCTACAGAAATTAATGATGTTTTTGAAGACTGTTTTGAGAGTGTCAACTGTTGCGGTTTTATTTGAATAGCTTATCTCATTTGGACGGACATGTTGAATCAAATGAGTAGACAAACACTAACTTAGCCTTGGGGTTGGACAATTTATTTTTAAATGATATGAAAATGCATAGTAGCTGTAATATTTTAAGCTGTAATAATTTGAGCTTTTTTCAAGGAATCGAAACGATCTTAAGATTCAGTCTAAAGATTCAAATCACTTGAGTTAACTCAAATTTAAGCTTACACTTTATTGACTGCTTGTCCAGCAAATAGTAGGCAGTAGGCTGGGGCGGTATCCAAATTTTGATACCGTCAAACCTCCATATTTTACCACAGTATTCGGTATTACAGTGCATAATAAAAACAATTATGATCTAGGGCTCAGACAGAATCACCAAACTGTTGGCTTGTGCCTAAACCATTCAGAATCTGAATACCGTATATGCGACCTTAGGTTTGCTGTCATTTGGGGGGGGGAGATAATGTATTCGCGAACAGAAGAGCAAAACCAAAAACCACCCAGCTAGATGATACAGAGTCCAGATAGCCTATAACAAACTGTCTGTATATACACACATACACATAGACACACAGCACCACGCTCTCTCTCATTCACACACATACACACACACACATAGACGGCACCAAGCCAGCAACGCACAGCATCACAAACACAAACAAACTCCATCCACACTGATGCGCGCGTGCTCGCTGTGGAGCGATATTGTTAAACCGCCAGGTCCCAATCAAATTACACCAGTTACCGAGCGCTCATGCGCTCTATTTGGAAATTTATTCCCACACTGCAAGAAATCTGGTCGGGTCCCGCTGCTCCCCCCCGCAGTACAGCAGCGGGAATGCAGAGCTCTAGTTCGTATGTACCGCGTCTCTCTTCTCGTTCAGTCGAAACCCGAAATACTGCCAAACTGCAGAGGTTGTGTTCTTTTTCGAGATCAGGTCACTTGGTGCGCGACTCGCCATCTTACCTCACCTCTCGCTCTCCTTCACACTGTCTCGTGACAACAATCCCGCACACGCATTTTTAGGCATTTAATAAATAACAGTTAATATTTAATACTTGTCTTCTATATAGGTGCATTGTTTTTTTATGACGGTATAACGGTATTGAAACTGATACCGTTGATATTTTTAGAACCCGCGGTATACCATATTACCGCCCAAGCCTAGTAGGCAGTGTATTTTACCAATCTCATTTATATTACTTCTGTGGCCAAACATAAAACCAGTATAGGGTCAAATTTGAGCAAGGTATTTGTCAACAATTTGACAGTGATTCATAACGCACTTTTTTGAGCTACACCTTAATACATGAAACTACTTAACTACTTAATCAACAATCAAATGCACATTCACACAGAGGCCGTTCTTAAAATGAGAATTGAGCTGACAACTGTCCAAATTGATTCTAGTACTTATTACTAGATGTTAGACTCGCACCTGAAAAACCACAAAAGCAGAAATTTGGCTTATCCTTAACTGCTCAAGATCAGTCTCCACCAGATCAGCAAGACACAACATTTGTTTGTAATACTCGCACTTTTGCTCGAGTTTGAGCTTCCCTCGCTTGCTGGACTTGGGGAAACATGGCGCTTCTGATTAGTTGGTGACTTCAGTTACGTCCTTGGGATTCACTCGCTCGTGAGTGGAGGTTGTGCTGGGTTGCCAGGGTGAAAGACTCTACTGGTAGTCGGTTAGCAGAAGTTTTTCTTGCGCTTTTGATGATCTTAAAACTTTTAAGAGGTTGATTGGAAGGTTTTTGTTGACCCAATCGCGTCCCAATTTACTTTCATTTATGTGCATTCATTTCTGGGTTTCTTTATCTCTACAAAAGTGTACATCTACCAGAATGTATAGGCACATGTAGCACATGACCCGAAGAGTCTCGCAAAATGTCTTGTGAGATAATTTGTTAGGTTTTCTGTCAAAAGGCTTGTAAACACCATTGTTTGGTCCACCACATTACCAAATTTTGTGCCCAGAAATGGTCAGGGGGAACATCTGCTAAAGAAGTATTAGCAGAAATGGTCAAATTAGTTATCCTGTGTTAGGTTCCCCTGTGTTTTAACCCCATGAGGCAGTCCTTAAATGACTGGGACCAGACAACACTGAGCAAGATTTTAGAATCAGGGTTGGACTGGTTTTGATTCTGAAATCTGCCAATGAGTCCCTACATCTATCTCTTTGTGTGAGAATGGTGACTGTTGCTATGCGGCACACACCACACCTGTCTAAGTGAAGTTGATTGCAACTTTTCTGCATGCATGATGCATACCATGTAAGGCACATGTTATAGTCAATTCCTCCAGGGCCACAGTTTTGCTCCAACCTTAATCAAACACACCTGATCCAATTAATTAAGGTGTTCAAGATTATTTTGGGCCCTTCAGAAATTCACTTTGACACCTATGATGTAAGGGTACTACCAGAAGTGGAAATTCAAGTGCGATTGGGGTTTCTAGTCCCGAATGCTACTATACTGTAGTTGCCAAGAGATCCCTCTAAAGAAGAGGAGCCTAATTAGATGTTACAGTTTTCCCTCTAGAGAGAAAGATGCTGTAATTTATTACGAATCAACATATTCTTTGGACTTCTTTGAATATCTTGTTTCAGACATATCGTCACCTTGGAATTATAAGGTTCTACTATGTACTATACTCCTCTTGTTTCTGGCTACAGTATGGCCTTAACTTTCTACCAGTTTCTTGCCCTGCAGAGTTTAGATCCAACCCTGCTTTAACACACTTACCTGTAGATTTCAAACAAGCCTGAGGGACTCATTTTTAGTTTGATCAGGTGTGTTTATTCAGGGTTAAAGCTAAACTGTGCAGAGCTGCGGCCCTCCAGGAACTATTTGACACTCGTGGTCCAAAATATCTTGAAATGGATAAAGTGCACCCAACAACAATAGCATCATTTCTTTCAGCTGGGGTCTTTCATGTCATTTAATAGAAGACTGCACCAGTTATGCAATTAGATGCATCGACCTCTATCATGAAATGAAATGTAGGGTCATGATAACTTAAGAATTGGAGCTGTGGTAAAACTTGTACTGATTGAAGGCTTATGTAGCTGCCTCTGTTGAAAATAATTTGGCTTTCCTTTAAGTGAGTTCAGTATTCAGGTAAGAGGTCCCTCTGAAAGACGGGAGCCTGATCAGATATTAAAGTCTTGCAGAACAATGCACTTTGACATCAACAGGAGACAACCTCCTTCATTTGTTATATGGCTGTAGGACCAGTGGACATATTGGTTTTGATGTTTTACATGTCTTTGATGTCTGTCATTTTGTGCCTATATGTACACTGAGGTTAACAATTTATTTATTCTTTGCCTTAGGCGTGATGGCAGTGAAAATGGAGACTGAAGTAAAGAATGAAATGGAAGAGACAAATCAGTGTAAGAATCCTGATCTTATAACTGGCGAAAAAATATTTTGTTTACAACCCGACAGGGCTTCATGGGCTAAAGTTAAAAAGACAGCAAGTAGAAGTTACTTCATCTGCCAACAGTGTGGAAAGAGTTTCAAGGAACCTGGAAAGCTTAAAGTCCACACAAGAATTCACAACGGAGAGAAGCCTTACTCTTGTCAACATTGCGGAAAGTGTTTCGATAAAAAAGGGAACTTAACAGTTCACATGAGAATTCACACTGGAGAGAAGCCTTACTCTTGTCAACATTGTGGAAAGAGTTTTAGTCAAAAGGTATTTCTGACGGCCCACCTGAGAACTCACACTGGAGAAAAACTTTGCACCTGCCCACAGTGTGGAAAGAGTTTCAATATGCTCGGAGATCTTAAAGTCCACATGAGAATTCACACAGGGGAGAAGCCTTACGCTTGTCAACATTGCGGAAAGTGTTTCAACAAACAAGGAAACCTCACTATACACATGAGAATTCACACAGGAGAGAAGCCTTACGCTTGTCAGCATTGCGGAAAGTGTTTCAATAAAAAAGGAAACCTCACTGTACATATGAGAGTTCACACTGGAGAGAAGCCTTACGCTTGTGAACATTGTGATAATAGTTTTAGTCAAAAGGTTTTTCTGACAGCCCACTTGAAAACTCACACTGGAGAAAACTCTTACACCTGCCAACAGTGTGGAAAGTGTTTCAGGGCATTTGGGAAGTTTAACGTCCACATGAGAATTCACACTGGAGAGAGGCCTTACTCTTGTCAACGTTGCGAAAAGAGTTTCATTTCTAAAGGAAACCTGACAGTACATATGAGAACTCACTCTGGAGAAAACTCTTAGACCTGCCAACAGTTGGGAAAAGTTTAAGGTATTTGGCAAGCTTAACGTCCAAATGAGAATTCTCACTGGAGAAAGGCCTTACTCTTGGCAACTTTGCGAAAAGAGTTTCATTACGAAAGGAAATCTGACAGTTTATATGAGAACTCACTCTGGAGAAAACTCTTAGACCTGCCAACAGTTGGGAAAAGTTTAAGGTATTTGGCAAGCTTAAAGTCCACATGAGAATTCACAATAGAGAGAGGCCTTACTCTTGCCAACATTGCGAAAAGAGTTTCATTATGAAAGTAAATCTGACAGTACATATGAGAACTCACTCTGGAGAAAACTCTTAGAACTGCCAACAGTTGGGAAAGAGTTTCAAGGTATTTGGAAAGCTTAACGTCAAGATGAGAATTCACACTGGAGAGGCCTTACTCTTGCCAACTTTGCGGAAAGAGTTTCATTACGAAAGGAAACCTTTCAGTACATATGAGAACTCACTCTGGAGAAAACTCTTAGAACTGCCAACAGTTGGGAAAGAGTTTCAAGGTATTTGGAAAGCTTAACATCAAGATGAGAATTCACACTGGAGAGAGGCCTTACTCTTGCCAACATTGTGAAAAGAGTTTCATTTCGAAAGGAAACCTTTCAGTACATATGAGGACTCACTCTGGAGAAAACCCTTAGACCTGCCAACAGCGTAGAAAGAGTTTCAAGGCATTTGCAAAGCTTAAGTCCACATGAGAATTCCCACTGGAGAGAGGTCTTACTCTTGCCAACATTGCGAAAAGAGTTTCATTATGAAAGGAAACTTGACAGTACATATGAAAACTCACTCTAGAGAAAACCCTTAGACCTGCCGACAGTTGGGAAAGAGTTTCAAGGTATTTGGAAAGCTTAACGTCAAAATGAGAATTCACACTGAAGAGAGAGAAAGGCCCTACTCTTGCCAACATTGTGGAAAGAGTTTCATAACGAAAGGAAACCTCGCAGTACATATGAGAACTCATTCTGGAGAAAATCCTTAGACTTGCCAACAGTTGGGAAAGAGTTTCAAGGTATTTGGAAAGCTTAAAGTCCACATGAGAATTCACACTGGAGGGGAGCCTTGCTCTTGTCAACATTGCGAAAAGAGTTGTAGACTATATTGCAACTGAGAAAGTAAAGATGTGTATCTTCACCTTTATTGTATTTCTAAAAGTGTATGTTACTGCCATCATCATTTTTGTACATTTAAAACAAATGTATTTTTTTGTTTTTATGTTTATACTTCTACAGTAATAACATTCACAGTAATTCTGATATTTTAACTGTAACCGTACGTTCACACCGAAAGCGGCGAGAGCGTCCAAGGTCGCTCTGGCCGCCCTGGCGACAACAATGTCTGCCTTCAGCTTCGGCAGCGAGAGCGTCAAAACTCACTACATTGATCTCGTTTTTAAAGGAGCCATTGCAGCATATCAGTTACATTCCCGTATAACACATGTTTCTAGCGTGAAAATGTTGCGCACTTCTTAGCAAATTCATATAACAATGGAAGATCAAAATGCATGTAGTGTGGCTTTGCTCTATTTATCCAATATGTGTCCATATGTCTGATATATCCTGAAGCAGCTATACTGTTTTGTACTGTCACGTTGCGTGAGATTCCCGCTTTTTTGAAGATAAATGTATATATAACATTAATGCACATCAGTAACTCGCCAGTAACTTATTTAATGCATGTTCGTGTGAGAAAACATTGTAAATAATTGGAAATTCGGCGACCGCAATCATCAAACCCTTGAGAACAACTGTCGTCGGAACCAAAGTTCACAGGTCTGTGTTCTTTGAACCCCTCTATCAAGCGGTGGAGGTCTTCATTCTGATTGCATGCCACCGAACCGCATCATAGCTCAATACCATAAAGTTGACTTGATTTCAACTCTCCTCGACGCCCACGCCGGTAAAGACGCGCCACGCTGCTCCTCGCCGCTTATCGCCGCCTATCGCCGCCGACTCTCATTGAAAATGAATGACTTCCGGCTACTTTGACGCTCTCGCCGCTTTCGGTGTGAACGTACGGTAAGAGTCACTAGAGTTAGTTGGTTTCTAAATGAATGATGCTTAAACAACTGGACAACAAATACATCAAATAATCATTGGGAAAGTTCTTACTGTAGTATTTCTCACAAACGTTACGCGAGATCTGCTTCCGTTATGTCTGTCACTGTGCTGTTTATCTGACGCAGCCGAGGCGAAGATTGAGGCACACTCTGACAGGCACTTGGGAACGGTGGGCGGGGAGAACCAGCTCATTTGCACTAAAGGCACAGGCAAAAAAAAACAGCTACATAGTGTTCAGAGCAGAAGCTGAAACTTTACAGACACATTCTGGAGACACAAAAGACTTGTATTAAATCTTGAAAAGGGGGTGAAGTAGGTGCCCTTTAACACAGGGATTCTCAACCAGTTGGCCGCGGCCCATTAGTGGGTCTCAGTGATCCTGCAGGTGGGTTGCGAGATAGCTTAAATTTAACTTGATTATTGTACTGTAATTATTTGATTTCATTATTAAATATATTTTATATAAAAATGATTGGGTGTAACGGAATTTCCCATTTTCTGTTATTGATTACTTTGGTGCAAAAAGAGCCTCACTGTAAAATACAGACTTACAAATACAGACCGCTGCACATCAACTAGGACCAATGCTCAGCTGTATAAAGCAAACGGTCACTCAAATGTAAAGGTAATGATGATTAGAGTCATAACCAGTTTGCATGTGGCAATTTTTTTCAATCATGTAGATCAATAGATGAATAGTAGTCAGTCCAATTCAAAGCAGCAGTATTTTTATAAATACTCAGCAGTTGTAAAAAGAAATACCTGGAGAAGTCAGGAGCTTTGAATCTGTGTGTGTTTAAAAAATAAATAAAATAAATGTTAATATAAATTCTATATTAAATTTTCTATGTATATAATGTTTTTTTTAAATATATAAAACACTGTAGAAAATAGTTTCCGATCTGATACCAAGTGAAATGAAGGCGAGTATCAGCGATATTGATCCAATACTGCCCAAAAATGACTGTTTGGGAAATTGAACAGGCAGTGTACTTAAGTGTCACTTCATACTGAATACGAGCAGGGCCGGAGCAAGCTGAACTGCTGCTCTAGGCAGAGGACGATTACGCCGCCCTCAACCCCAATGTGAAAACGAAAGTGACCGGTTATGAAAATAAAGTGAGGAGTCGCGGACCTTTATTCTCCCACCCTATGCGCAGATATAACTGAGGACGCGCGGGTGCTGAGGGAGGTGTCGCCGACGCTGCTCTCTCTATTCTGCCGCCCTATGCGTGAAAATAACTGAGGACGCGCGGGTGTCGTGGACCTTTATTCTGCCACCCTATGCACGTAAATAACTGAGGACGCGCGGGTGCTGTCTTCAGAGGACGCCTCTCAATACTGTCGCCCTAGGCGGCTGCCTAGGTCGCCTCTATGGACGCGCCGGCCCTGAATACGAGACATATTACAGGTTATTCTTGTTTATTAATGAAGAATTATCATACAAAAAAGAGCCAACTTACATATTTATTGACAGCATCTGAGCATGTATATCTTAAAACGCCTGCCTGAACATCTTGTAAAAACATTTAAACCTTTTGGTTTAGTAACATGTTATTCCGGTTCCCATGAAAGTGCTTTGAACCTTTTTCCGTTGTATTATGATTGTCACAAAAAATGCAAAAAATGCAGCCACGTAGTCGCATTTTCTCCCTCTGTACCTGGATAGTGCCTGCCTGCTGCACCTAAGGACTCTGGAAGCAATGTCTGTCTCGCCCTAGCAGCACCTGTGCCTCTCCTCTCCTCCTCTTCTGACTGCCCAGTCATGACGTAGTCATATTCTGTCATGGGATTTCTATGTAGATGTTTGATTAGGTTTGTGTTATTCCCACAGTACCTCACTGTTTTGTTACACGTGTCACAAATCGCATCGTTTGAGTTTATGTATGTGAAGTAGCTCCACACATACTTTCCCTGCTGAAAAAAGAGCTAAAACCAGCCTAAGCTGGTCTCCCACCCAGGCCAGGCTGGTTTTGGCTGGTTTTTCAGCCTGGCCAGGCTTGTCAAGCTGGTCTTTTAATCTGATCAGGCTGGTTTTAACTGGTCTCTCGGCCTAGTCAGGCTGGTTTTAGCTGGTCTCCCAACCTGGTTAAGCTGGTTTCAGCTGGTCTCCCAGCCTGACCAGCTAGCACTAGATAAGACCAGCCAGCCTGACCAGTTAAGACCAGCTAAGAACAGCCAGCTTGACCAGCTAACACCAGCCCGACCAACTAAGACCAGCTAAAAAGTGGCCAAAACCCCTCTAAAACCAGCCTGACCAGCTAAAACCAGCTAAGACTAGTTTGACAAGCTAAGACCAACCTGACCAACTAAAACCAGCTAAAATGTGGCCAAAACTCCTCTAAAACCAGCCTGACCAGCTAAAACTAGCTAAGACCAACCTGACCAACTAAGACCAGCTAAAAAGTGGCCAAAACCCCTCTAAAACCAGCCTGACCAGCTAAAACCAGCTAAGACTAGTTTGACAAGCTAAGACCAACCTGACCAACTAAAACCAGCTAAAAGGTGGCCAAAACTCCTCTAAAACCAGCCTGACCAGCTAAAACCAGCTTGACCAGCTAAAACTAGCTAAGACCAACCTGACCAACTAAAACTAGCTAAAAAGTGGCCAAAACCCCTCTAAAACCAGCTTGACCAGCTAAAACTAGCTAAGACCAACCTGACCAACTAAAACTAGCTAAAAAGTGGCCAAAACTCCTCTAAAACCAGCCTGACCAGCTAAAACAGCTAAGACCAACCTGACCAACTAAAACTAGCTAAAAAGTGGCCAAAACTCCTCTAAAACCAGCCTGACCAGCTAAAACCAGCTAAAACAGCTAAGACCAACCTGACCAACTAAAACTAGCTAAAAAGTGGCCAAAACTCCTCTAAAACCAGCCTGACCAGCTAAAACCAGCTTGACCAGCTAAAACAGCTAAGACCAACCTGACCAACTAAGACTAGCTAAAAAGTGACCAAACGCCTCTAAAACCAGCCTGACCAGCCAAAACCAGCTAAGACTAGTTTGACAAGCTAAGACCAACCTGACCAACTAAAACTAGCTAAAATGTGGCCAAACTCCTCTAAAACCAGCCTGACCAGCTAAAACCAGCTTGACCAGCTAAAACCAGCTTAAACGAGCTAAGACCAACCTGACCAACTAAGACCAGCTAAAAAGTGACTAAACGCCTCTAAAACCAGCCTGCCCAGCCAAAACCAGCTAAGACTAGTTTGACCTGCTGAAACCATTTAAAACCAGCTAAAAGTGGCCAAAACTCCTCTAAAACCAGCCTGACCAGTTAACACCAGCTAAGACCAGCTTGCCCTGCTATAACCAGCTAAGACCAACCTGACCATTTAGGACCAGCTAAAAAGTGGCCAAAATCCCTCTAAAACCAGCCTGACCAGTTAACACCAGCTAAGACCAGCTTGCCCTGCTATAACCAGCTAAGACCAACCTGACCATTTAGGACCAGCTAAAAAGTGGCCAAAATCCCTCTAAAACCAGCCTGACTAAAATCATCCATGACCAGCCTGGGAAACCAGCAAAAACCAGCCTTGGCTGGTTTAAGCTGTTTTTTTTAGTAGGGTTGCTTGCGGTCACCCATGTCTAATGACAGCGTGAGTGTGACTGAAGAACATGTGCCAGGCCAGCGGACTGAGTGGCTAGCTAGCGTGCTCTGCAGTTGTACAGCGCCATATTGCGCACATGACTTGGCAGGCGGAGGAACAAGTAGTTCCGACTAAGTTGGCATCATTCAGATAAACAAGGGTAATTGTGTTTACTTTCTGCTGTGTTTCTATTTCCAGTGAACTACATATTTGCACCATATTACTGAAATATCGATATTTTGATAAGATCACCGATTCTGGAACATACAAATCTGGTATAGGAGATATCGATATTTTAGTATCGATCCGCACATCACTGGTAGAAAAATAAAATAATAACAGTATAAGCAAAAGAAATGTTTTGCTCATAAATAAAGGTTTAAAATAAGCATTTTCTCTAGACAATCTGACGTGGGCCTTCGAAAAATTTTCGGAGAAGGAGGTGGGCCCCGAAGTGAAAAAGGTTGAGAACTCCTTTTACATCAATTA